CGGTGGTGATTTGGTGACCAAAAATTACTTAAAGTTTTTGCATTAAACAGTGCTGTGTTATTAGATGTTCACTGTTACACGAAAAAAGTTTTTAAAAATCATGAAATGTCTGCGGTTTTTAGTGATTGGCGACCGAAGGTCTTCACTCAGCGGTACATGGTTGCTTAGCAACGATACCGCACTCTAAAGGAACTACATTCCTTGGCAGAATGCTGGTTTGTCGATTATTATTAATAAGAACTTAAATAGTTATCAAAAATATTGTGCATTTTAATATATTTTATGTTGGCCGCCGTTCTATAAAAGCAATAAGCCACTCGAGGCAGTGCATTTACTGCGATTTTATCACGGAGAAGGGAGTTTTAGGCACTCTGCCTGGCCCCGTGGCTTATTGCTGCAGTATAAGGTTGACTTCGCATTCCTAAACATGGAGCTGGGCCTTCTTTTTGAGTGTGCGTGTGATGTTAATATGTAAAGATGTATGACAAGGTCCAAAAAACTCCTGACTCAACAGCTCTGACTTTTAAAATATGAATCCAGGACTGTTGTGGAGCCCTTTTTGCTCGGAGTGCAGAGCTGTGGCTAGGGGTGGGCAATATGATGATATGCCATCGATACCATATATTTAAATTATGTCACAATATGCTTTTCTGAGTAGATAATAAGGACAGATTTAGACCAATCATAGAGCGACTGTAGACAACAACCAGAGTACAATGTAACTGCACAAACTGCATAACAAATAGCTAATTGAATGTCAGCCCGTTAGCACATCTCATTTTGCTGATCTGTTTTTAACAGCAGTGATATTTTTCCTCCCACTTATTCTTCAGTATTTTACAAATGTAACACTGAAAAACATCACTGTAATCATAGTTTGTTCTCAGACATTTTTAAATGGGCAGTGCTGGTTTGTCTGTTGCAGTATGTTCACAAACCTTATATAAAAACTAAGAAAATTGTAATGCATATCAGGGATCATCAAAATGTCAAGTATTGTGATATTTTTGGCCATATTGCCCACCCTTAGCTGTGACTGAAGTCGAGGGAAGTTGGACTTTAAAGAGCTGTTAAACATTAGGCCGAACTTGGTGGCTGCTCCTACATTAGCATACGGAAAAAGAGTGTTAGAAGAAGACGGAAGAGAAACAGGAGAGCATTGTTAAAGGAAAACTCCAGTTTTTTTTCCATTTTATCCATCTGTAGGATATGGAAAGCAATTTTAAACCTTTTTCCCAGTTAGAAAATGACTTAAAGAAGCACTTATAATAGAAGACAAGGAGCAGCTGCTGAAGAAATCAAATTGTATGTATTAATGTAGCCTCATCAAACTAAACGATCATGCTGCCTTCAAGTGGGTCTCAAAAACCATGTTTGCCCACCAGGAGGCACTCTTACAAGTTTTTTGATGCAGCATGCACTGGAGTTCAGCACTGTTTTCATCAAGCGAACAGTCCAACAACAGAAAGCAGTCAGTAAACACAATACAAATAAAGTAAATGGTAACAGTGAAGTGGTAAGATTTGTGCTTCGAGTTCAAAAACACCCATAAAATGAGCCAAAACAGGTAAATGCCAGCTCACAAATAACCACAACAGTTTCACAACCTTCATGTATTGTTTACCTCCCACATAAACCACATGAACGCACACTTCAGGTGAACAAGCTTCTCCTCAGAGAAAAAACACCACCTGACTTGCACTTCAACACAGCATTACCTGGAATAACGGCTCACCTGAGAAGTGGAGGCTGCTGGTCCAGTTTGCAGTGACTGATGGAAATTTGTTGGTTGCTGTTCAGGTACTGGGAGCTGGATGAAGTGAGCGATCAGTTCTTTCTTCCTATAAACACCACAGCAAAAAGCCGTCTGAGCACAAACAGCACAGCTTTTTAATGTGGCATTTTCAGAGCAGTAGATGTCATCAGAACGAACGCACTCACTGTACCTGCTGTAGTTAATGCGTGAATAAAAGGTGCGCTGAGAAGTTTTTGATCAAGTCTATTTTTATTAATGCATTTCAAGTTGTTCAAAAAAAATTACATATCTTTGCACAATACTTTTTGCAGGTTTAGTAAAAATTTTCCAAAGTGAGCGCAAACGAAAGAAAGAGCCGAAAAGAAACAGAAAAAACAGAATAAAGAAAAAGAACAAAACCAAAAGATACTGTATAAAACACAGCGGCTATTAAAATCAAACAGTAGTATTAGACATATTTCATATTTCTCCATCTTGAATTTTAAATTCGTTCCACACGCGTTGCATACATATCAGTGCACATTCCTCTCATACGCTTAAAGCAAGACATGAAAAAAGAGACAAGTTTTCAAATTAAAAGCCCTCTCTGCCCCAACCACCCTACCCAAAACCCTTCACCACAACAGTTTAGACAAAAATGATTACAATGAGGCCCATCACGGTCAGATCAGGTCAGTTAAGCTCAGGCCCAACACCATCACAATCCCTATTCACCCGACACTTAAAGAAAAGAAACAGAAACAAGGACAAAAACAGCTTCTCCAGCAGCGCCGCTTAGAAAATGAGAGAATCGTCTCTGTGTTTGCTCAGGGTGACTCTGGAGGGCGCTGGAGTCACTGTGTGTGTGTGTGTGTGTGTATACTGCAGGCTGCTTTGATGCCGTTCCAAAAAAGTCTCCAAACCGAGCGCCCATCGTGGCACGTTTAGAAAAAACAACGCAAAGTTCACAAACAAGTCGCACGTTAGAACAAGAAATAAAAGAGCAGAAGGATGGACAGTTATGATCAGTAGATGATTTTGGATATCGTTCCATTCCAGAGAGAACAGATGTTAGCAGAACAACAAAGTGCAGAAACAGACGAAGAAGAAGAAGAAAAAAAAAGAAAAAAAAGGAAAAGCAAGAAAAAAAAATGGTGGGAGAAACAAGTAATAAGGAAAAGAGAAAAACAAGAAACAAGACAGAAAATCAAAAAAAATTAACAGGAAGAAAAAAGAAAAGGGGAAAATGTGAGAGAATAAGGGGAAAAAAAAGGGAAAGACAATGAGAAAGACAAGAAAAACAAACAAGCGAAACAGAAAAGAAAAAAACAAAAATGAGAAAGGAAGAGAAAGAAAAAATGATGGTGTGAGAGAAACAAGAAAAGAAAAAATGAGAAAGAAGAAAGAAAACAAGAAAAAGAAGTAAAAGAAAAAACAAAAACATGGGAAGAATAAACAGGAAAAAAGAGAAAAAGGGGAAAAGGAGGAAGAAGAGGAAAAAGAAAAGGATGAAAAGGAGAGAAAGAATGTGAAAAGACAAGAGAAAGAAAGAAAGAACAAGAGGAAAATGAACAAGAAAAGAGAGAGAGAAGATTGGTTGCACTTTCATTATTGCTCTCCAGACTGCCCTCTGTGGTCAGTGGAGCTGGAGCTGGTCAGGGCTGATAAACAGTGAGGCTCTCGCGGGGCGGTGCTGCCCGCTGCCTCAGCGCTGCCAATAAAGTGCTTCAGAAGAGCAAAGCAGTGGACGAATGTGTGAAACACGACGACAGAGTGAAAAAACAGGCTCTCAACAGGCCTCGGAAAGCTGCGCTGCCTGTCTGCCCACGGCGAGATAGAGAGAGCGAAGGCTGACGTTACACGGCTGGGAGACGAGTATTTGTCCATACTGGTAGAGCTCGGCCATCTGGGGCCTTTCCTGGTCATCAGGCACTGGAACGGTCAGCTGGCTCGGTTTGTTTCGTCCCAGTTTGTATTTGCTGTGATACAAAAAGTGAATAAAACCCAAAGTCCTTCTTGCTGTTGTCGCTTCTCTCTAGTCCGGCTGTTGAACCCCAGTGTTCTCCCAACAGGCGTCTGTATTAGCAGCAGCGATCAGAAGGAACGGCCTCAGAAGACCTTAATAAACTATGGAAAAATAGAGCTTGGGAAATATTTCTGCTTCTTACATTTCTTTTTTTTACTCTTCTGGATGGAAGAACAGGCAGAAAGCCACCGCCTGCTCTTCTCTAGTGGTTTTTATGACAATTCAAAATCCCAAAAGTCAGCAAAAAGACAAGAAAAACAAAATAAAACCATGTTGCGGTGAGAACGCAGCGCTCCTGCAGTCAAAATAAACCTCACCCTATTCCGCGACTGAGAGCGTGCTAGATAAGGCCTGCTACCAACTACACTATCAAACTAGTTCATCCAACTAACACAATTGCACAAGTCAAATTTTCTGTTTCTCTCCTTCTTTCTTTTTCTCAGCTAGTCAGCACATCAAATCCACACCGTCACGCGAGCGCGAGCTACGCTGCAGAAAGGCAAACCATTCTCAGCTCCAGAACAGAGCAGGAACAAGCAGCTCCAGATGAAGAAATCAAAATGCAAAAAAATATATAATCACTTCACCAACAATCATCAGGAAATGTTCCATTCACTGCGCTTTAGGCTTCTTAATTTATCCTGAGTGTCAGTCTAAATAGTAAATAATCTTTATCCAACAGCTGAAAAAAATAATCATGTAAGAAGAACCAAACAAGAAACTATTTTGTGATATCTGTACAACTGTGAACACAGAGAGAGAGAGAGAGAGAAAGAATGTAAAAACTTTGCATTTTATATAACTTTTTCATTTAAAATATTTTAATTACACATTGGCAATCGAGTCTCTGTGGAAGGAGCTCTTGCCTCAACTGGCTGCATGTGAATCCGTGTGATTTGCCATCGCGCAGGAGGCCGGTGCTTCAAAACGATATACAAAAGCGGGAAAAAATGAGAATGAAAGTGGACAGAGAGGAGAACCCTGAGGCACTCCACTTAGAAAAAAACTACAGGTGAGAGGGGAAGAGAAAAAAAAAGAAAAAAAGTCAAACCACATAAGAACAAAAAGCAGTGATTCTCTCCTTCTCCTCCTCATCGATAGCTTCCGTATTTTTCTCTGAGCTGAGTGAGGGCAGCTGGGCTGCTGGCCAGAGCAGTGGTTTTTCTTACATCTCTTTGAAAGTGTCGTTCTTATGAGCCGAGCCTGCTGAAGTCCATTTGTCGCGGGATATTGTTTTTCTTTTTGCTAGTTTCTGAGTTTGTGGATGGGGTTCATCGATTGGTTCAGGTAACTCTTTGGAGTGAAGTGTTTCCCATTGTAGGCACTAGGAAGAACCAAAGGCAAAGAGTCCGGCTCAGCGGCGCATCTGCCCCATTTGATAAGTATTGGGCTGGCGGGCGTGACGCTGAGGAATAGGCTGAGAACTGGGGTTCTGCGCTCTCCTTCTCTTCAGAGTTCCTATAGAGAGAGAGAGAGAGAGAGAGAAAGAGAGAGAGAGAGAAAGAGAGAGAGAGAGAGAGAGAGAGAGAGAAACAAAAAAGAAAGAAAGAAAGAACACACCGAATTAAATAAAGAAATAAATAAGGGTTCTATGGGCTGTGCTTCAGTTGGGTTCTATGGGCTGTGCTTCAGTAGGCTTCTTTGTGCTGAGCTTCAGTTGGGTTCTACGGGCTACGCTTCAGTAGGGTTCTATGGGCTGTGCTTTAGTTGGGTTCTATGGGCTGTGCTCCAGTTGGGTTCTAAAGGCTGAGCTTCAGATGCATTGTTAACCATTTCAGTGCCATGTTATGATGATAATTTTTGGTGAAGCCAAACTTCCTGTGCTGTCTTAAAGCAGCTGCCACTGTTACTGACCAGCTCTGAGCAGCTATATACAAAAGCCATTTTCAGTTATTCACTTCACTGATCTCGCCTCTAGCTGTATAAAAAATCTGCTGCGTTCCTGTGCACCTGTAAACACGCTGTGTCTGCAGCAGTGGTCTTAGTTGTTTTTCCCCTGGAATCCTGACAGTGAGGTGCTGACCCTTCTCAGATTGCACAACCGCCCAGAGCTGTGCTGCAGCGGTAGATTACTTGGCAGTGAATCAGAGAAAAGTCATTTCGGGCCTTGAAAGTAGTTTACACGTGGCAGCAAAGTTTACTGCAGCGTGCTATGCATTTAAAGCAAAAGCAAAGCTTCCAGACAGAAAATGCAACTGAGAATAAATTTATGAGAATAATGAGAGTTTGAGTGGGGGCAGTTTGGGGTAGTTTTGAGGCATGTATTATCTGGCGGTGGTTTGGGTGGGGCAGTTTAGGGTAGGTATTTATTTATTTTTTTTTTAAACCCAATTATCTCCCCAATTTAGTCATTGCCAATTCCACCCGTTAGTTAGGACTCCCCCAACGCTAGGAGGGTGAAGGCAGCACGGGCTTCCTCCAAGACCTGCCACTCACGCAACATCATTGGACAGCCGAATGCGCTCGGAGGAAAGCGCCAACCGCCAGATCTGTTACGTCAGCTAACAGACGCCTGCGCTGACTAGCATTGTGTTAAGTGATGGGGGGAGAAGGAGGGGCCATCCTACCCACCCAGAGAGAATGAGGCCAATTGTGCTCTCTTGGACTCCCGGCTACGGCGGGAGCCAGTTTAGGGTAGTTTTGAGGGGTGTATTATCTGGCGGTAGTTTGGGTGGGGGCAGTTTGGAATAGTTTTGGATAGTTTTGAGGGGTGTATTATCTGGCAGTGGTTTGGGTGGGGGTAGTTTGGAGTAGTTTTGGGTAGTTTTGAGGGGTGTATTATCTGGCAGTGGTTTGGGTAGGGGTAGTTTGGAGAAGTTTTCAGGGGTGTATTACCTGGCTGTGGTTTGGGTGAGGCAGTGTGGGGTAGTTTTGAGGGGTGTATTACCTGGCAGTGGTTTAGGTGGGGGCAGTTTGGGGTTGCTGCTGGGCGTGTGCACACTGCAGATTTTAATGAATCCAGCCATCAGCATGATGAGAGCGATGCCCATCAACAGCACAGCCCACCAATGAGCCTGTAAAACGCAAACACGTACATGTTAGTCTGAAAGCCCTGCACAGTTAACAGCATCTCAGTGAAAAACAAAATGCTATACAGAATTTCTGTCCTGATGACAATAACTGTTAATTAATACCTTCCTGTGGTAGATCACAATACCAATAACCAATTTTACTTTTGTTCAATTTTAAAACAAGTTCACACTATAAACCACATATGAAGTGCAGTGATGATAATAATAAACATTTCCCATGTATTGGCAAACACAAATATTGACATACATACTGTGCACCCCTAAAAAAAGACAAGCCCTTTTGCTTTTAGGATCAGTCATAATACATTGAAGTATATGAGAGAGACACTTGCCACTATCCACTCTGCAATGTTCTCATACAGCTCTGGGTTAAAGATGGCTTTCTTTAGCCTGGCCAGCGGTCCATCAGCATCCACCAGCCTGCACTTCATGAAGACATCGCAGTAGCCCTTGAAGTCATTGCAGGGCGAGCCGGGCTGCAGGGTTCTCACTTTCTTATCGAAGAATGCAACCCATTCCTGAGAGCCTGTACTTCTGCAGGTGTTGGGCTGATCTGGGGAGACAAAGACATACACAGCCATGAATGCACATGCAAAGACAGGCAGGAAACAGAAACATTTGTTTTGTGTGTGCGTTCCAGATTTGCTCAAATCATTGCTTAAAAACATTGTGTTGACACCTGGCAAAAATAAACAGGCTACACTCCTTTTGAAAAATAATAAATTTAAAAAGGTCAGACAGCACTCGCATAATGTACTGATTATGCTGAGGACGGCTGTGTGCCGAAACGGGAGCCTATTAAATATCCTCTAAGTTATACTGCTGTCCGACTGTTGAAGATGTAACTAGAAAGGTGTCACATGTTGAACTGTCCTAGGTACGTGCGTATGTAAGTATAATAAGGGCTGCATGATACTGTGGATGACTACAATATGCAAATGAGCCCTAAAAATGAATATTCTGACCAATCACAGAGATAGCTGACGTGACCGACATGGCTGTGGGTTTTTATATATGAATGAATTAAGGCATTACATGATCCAAGAATAAATACATTAACTCAAAATATTGCAGGTTAATCTTTAGCCATCACATCAGTATCAATACTACAATGTCTACAGTATAACAGCAGTATTTAGTATTAATAGCGTATCATACGTATCTATTATATTCACAATATGGACCTAACGTGAGCACGTATGTGTGATTATGTCTGAGCTGAACAAAAACATCAGGCCAGCAGGGAGCACTTACTCTTGTGCATGCAGCAGATATGGCACAGCTCTGTCTCATCCTGACCCTCCTCAATGGCACATGTACACATCTCCAGACCAAACCGCTCACAGATAGAGCCAGAACAGGCCTGAGGCACAGAGAGAGAGGTTGTGAGGAGATAACACAAGCACAGTCTTCTCAGTTCCTTTCACAATGTCCTGTAGTACGGGTACAATAAACAATCAACAAAGTTGATTACCTGCTGACAAAGTTTCGAAACGAAGGCCATATGTCTTTTACTTACAAACAAAGAGGCTCTAATCTGATAATATGATCCACCCAGTTATTACAGATTGCTGTACACTACAGGAAACCTAGAGAGTGTAGCTTCTATCGTAAGAAGAAATCTCTTGTTGCACAGGCTACACTAATAGGAATTATCATTAGTGGCAGCTCTACACTCTTAAGTGAGATGGTACTTCAAGGGTTTGTGAATATAGTACCATGAACACTTAATGAACCATTTGCATGATTAAAGGGTTCTTTGCATTAAGGAAGCGTTCTTCAGATTGATGGAGAATGTGCTATAGACAGTTCAAAATATAAAAACTTTTTTAAAAGAGTTCTATATAGCACCCAAAAGCGTTCTTCTATTGTTACAAGCTTGAAACCGTAACAATAGAAGAACACTTTTGGGTGTTATATAGAACCCTTTTCAAAAAGGTTCCATATAGAACCAACTACAGCACATTCTCTATCGATCTGAAGAACAGTTTCATGATGCAAAGAACCCTTTAATCATGCAAATTGTTTTTTGAGTGTTCATGGTACTACATAGAACCATTTTCTTTACTAAAGAAACATCTAGAGTGTAGCCTTTAGTGTGTAACCAGTGAGGAATGACTGACTGGGCCGATGGGGTCAGTGCCCCGAAACTGGAAATGAAATTCAGGTTACTTGAAACTGAAAACAGAAAGAAAGAGTTCATGAGTTCTACTGTTTTATTTATGCTTTTAAACTAATGTACCAATGCTGGTGATACTCGCCATGTTAGGTAAAAGAACTGGCAGAACTAGACATACACTGTTAGAAATAAAGGTTCTGTGCAGGTACATTTTTGTTCATCAAGGTACAAACAATGTAAATCTTCCCTCAAAGGTACAACAGTGGGTTTAAGGTCCAAATGTGTACCTTAAGTAAGTTTTTTCTAGGTGAAAAGTTCGTATTTGTACCTTTTCTTAACTGAATGTTTTAAAACAGAACAATAAAATAAAGAGGCTGGAGACGAGACGAGGTGTGTGGAGTCAACACAACTTAGAAAATATAATTTCAGTGGATTATGGTTCAGTTATGTTCCCTGACTAAAGGTACTGAGATGTACTCTTGAGGGTACCACCCCAGTGACAAGAGGGGGACTGCCCCAGTGACAGTTTCATACCTTTTTTTCTGAGAGCATACTGTACATTAAAAGTTGTTAAATTCTGAAAATATAATAATTAATTATAATAATTCCTTTCCAAAAGGAATCTACAGTTGAATTTTAGAGCGGATCTGCTCTTTAACGAAGGAAAAACGGCTTGTTTTTTCAACATGTAAAGCATATGAACGGCTGTAGAACTGTAGGGTACTGTTCATGAGGCTACAGGACATCTACGTAAGCTTGTCATGACAACTGACATAACTCTACATGAATGTTTCTAAATGCTTAATCCAATAATCGTCATGCGCTATAAAGGTTACATTTGCCAATTTTGATCAAAGTTAGCTAAAGTAGCCTTTATGACAGATAACACCTATCGGAATAAGCATTTATAAACATTTATGTAGGGTTATGTCAGTTTTCATGACAAGCTAATGTAGGTGTCATGTAGCCCTATGAACAGTACCCCACAGTAAAGTGTTAACCAACTTCCTAACATGCATGTTGCTTTAATGTGATGACAACATGTTCAGAACCAAATGTGGCGGCAGCTTGCACTGACTTTTTCCATAGAAAAAATATCCAGTAAAGAGAACTATGTCTCATAAGACCAAGATCTCTTATTCAGTTCAGGCACGTCATACCCCGTTGATGCAGACTTGTGTCTCTCCGTGGCAGGTGGTGAAGTTTTGTTTGGGTTTGGAGGTGGGGCACTGAGCCGTGATCCCGTTACACTTCCCCTGTTCAGCACACTCTGATTCTTCCCTACATTTCTCTTCACGGCTCTTAAAGCCACATTGAGGGGTGCAGCACGGGCCCTGACTGGGGCTGCAGGAGAGAGCATTAGACAGCATTAGAAAACACACAGGAAATAATTAGGAAATTATTTTGATTGTCAATATTGACAATACAAGGACAAAGTGAGTCTCAAGTCTTCACACTCAAGTCCCGAGTCAACTCCCAAGGCAAGATAGTCAAGTCTCGATTCAAGTCCTGAGTCAGTACAGGTGAGTCTCAAGTCAAGTCCCAAGTTAATAGTCCTAATCTTTGAGTCCTAAACAAGTCAGTCTGCATTCTTCAGCTAATTTAAGGCCACAACACTGAACAAAGGGAACAGTACTATCGCCTTTTAATGACAGTACGTTAGCAGTGTATGGCTGTATTACATTTTTTATTATTACTATTTTTTAATAGTCCATAGTACACAGATAACCATGACAGGCATAATGGTATACACAAAGAGTAGTGCGCTATATATGAAAAGATTTTTAAAAATACTGCTGAACTAAATTAAAAATAACCTTCATATATGAAGAACTTTATATTTGAACACTGAGAGCACATAATTAAAATAAAAAAACTAGCTCAGTACTAAAACTAGGTCATTGATGCTGTCCGAGTCACTGTTGTTGGAGTCAAAGTTGAGTCCCAAATCTTTCTCGATTTTCTCAAGTTGAGTCTAAAGTCTTCGAATTCGTGACTCGAGTCAGACTCGAATCCAAGTCATATGACTCCTCTGATTTTTTTGGCCATATAGCACAGCTCTAACAGAAACATATACACTATGCTTTAAGAGCTGAGGCTGGAGATTAGATGAGCTGCAGAAAATCAGCAGCGGATGTTCCACTAACCTGCACTTAGCCTCTGGCTTCAACTTGCACTTCCTGCCGTCTGGCTCGTTTGCATTGTAGCAGCACTCATCCTTACACTGATCACTGTAACCACAATCACAGTCTTCACCAGTCTCCACCAGGCCATTCCCACAGATTGGCTGACCAGACTCTGAGAAAGAGAGGGGGAGAGAGAGAGAGAGAGAGGGAGGGAGAGAGAGAGGGAGGGAGGGAGAGAGGGAGAGAGAGAGAGAGAGAGGAGAGAGAGAGAGGGAGAGAGAGAGAGAGAGAGAGTGAGAAAGAGAGTATGGTTTATAGATGACAATTTAAGACACTCATCCGTCTCTGCTCTTCAATCTGAGGAGGAGTGGAGCTCTTACCCACGAAGCAATGCCCCCTCTTCTTATCCAGCACCTGGCTGATGTTGCGGATGCTGCAGATGGAGAACTTGTTGTTGTTGAACTTGTCCCCGGACGTGGCTCTGGCGTACATGATGTAGTTCCCTCTCTCCTTCTTATCCTGAATCTTTGACTCACCGGGAGTGCACTCACTGCCAGAGTCATGCTGAACAACAGAGAGAAGGAGAAAGCGAGAGAGAGAGAGAGGGAGAGAAAAAGAATATATAAATATGTGTAAGAAGCAGTTTATCAACAACAAAACCAAGCACAAAACACTGAATACCAGTAAGATAAAATAGATCAGGAAAAAATATGAACTATAATACTGTTATATCATAAATATTGTTTTGTATTGCAATTATATCACTACATTTTTAAATTTTATATGCCATATAATAAATTAAAAGTCCACTGATGAACAAGTGATTGCTTGAAAATGGACAATGGAGTTGGCATAAGACCTCTGATCAAATTTTTGGAGCACTTTGTGCCAGCTCTGTTTCCATAAGCAGACATAATTCATTGTCAGTTTTAGAAATTTAAAGTGACTTTTCCTCTTCGTCTTACTGGATCTGGGGTCGGCAACCCAAATGTTAAGAAGAGCCATTTTGTCCTTTCAACAAAAATCAATCCGCCTTGGGAGCCACATTTTATGTCCGTTTATTTAAGTAACGTTTTACCATTTTGGCTGTAATAATGTCTCAGTATGTGATGATGTACTAGTGTAGGCTGAATATAATATAAACAAAAATCCAGACTTGCTTTACTCTGCCTTAAGCTTTAGCTCAGCTATAGACACTTTTCTCACATCTCCGGCAGGAAACGCAAAATTAGAAGAGTTTCTAGTAAAATGTCTCTTAACATTTGACTTTTACGAGGCTAAATTCAGCTTCTCATTTGAATTTTCCTGTTCCACCTTAAATGGTGCCTGAGGCACCAGAATGTAACTGCAGCACCATTTAAGGTGGAATGGGACAATTCAAACAAGAAGCTGGCAAATGAGAAGCTGACTTTAGCTTGACTTTTTAGCGTTTGACAGATTAAACCAGCTGGCAAATAAGTCTGTTCATCTCTAAATTATCAATGTTAAATCTCTCTCTTTGCCTTTTTGTTAGCTACTAGGTAGGTAAGACTGTTTTCTGCATTGCTATGGTGACCAACAGTCTGTGCGCCAGTCTTCAGGGTTGAAGGGTGAATTAGCAGATATACCTTAACTCCAGCGTTTAAGACCATTTATAGCTACAACTGTGTTGGACGATCAGCAGAGCTTTATTTTACTGCAAAGGAGGATTAATTTATTTTTACCTACAAATCTAATTCTGCTGTGGAGCCACAACAGGACAGTAAAAGAGCCGCATGCTGCCAACTCCTGCACTTGATCTATAAGACTGGTGTAGCTAACAAGTTATGGAAGCTTATGTACACCAAGTTCAGTAATCTCTTTATAGACTTGTATAGACACTGTATGACAAACTGCTTATAACTATGCCTATCTATAAAATATCAAAGATACATCACACAGCTTGTCCATACATTTTTATACCATTTCCATGTTTGTAGATAACAGTTTGTCCAAAGAAGAAAACTTTGGACAGTGAAAAGTTGTCTTGGCAGATTAACTGCATGTATCTATGTAAACTGTCTGGATTTCTCACTAAACCCTCACATCAGGGTCATTTTTAAGACCTTTTTCTATATCTAAGATGTTCTCTTTGGCCAGCAGCTTCCTACTCACAGGGGAGCCGAAGTTGTGTCCGACCTCGTGGGCGAAGGTGATGTGGGAGACTTTAGGGGGCACGTGGGAGGCGTAGTTCTGCACAGTGATGATGCCCGTGTTCAGAGACTTCTTCTTACCGTCTGAGTAGAGCTTATTCTTCTCACAGATCCCACCTGAGCTTCCTGAGAGAGCGGCAAACAAAGAAAGATCAGTGACAGAAACTAATGATAACATAAACTAACTGATCTCAGAGTGAAAAGAGTCACAGGAGACCTTTTATTCTTTTTCTTTTGGGAACATGCAACCTGATCATAAGACATAACACACATAGTTGACAATTATTTAAAAAAGCTTAAATTTATGTTTTCTACTATTATTGTGGACTCATTATGGCAATCAGCATTGGAGGAATGTCTTCAATCAGTGAGGTGTAAACAAAGTCATTCAGAGTTGGTTGATTTCTGTACCGCAGTGATGATGGTGATAAAAAAGAACAAAAGGTTGCAATTTCTAACATGGCTAAAAGGCCAATATAGCCATTCTATTTACTGTCCAAAATGACCAATGAACCCACACATGTCCTGTGAGTTTTATATGTGATGTTGTTAATTTTAAAATACTGGTGAAAACTATTCTGTGCCTTATTGCCCTGCATGTGTAAAAATACATCTCAGACCAAAACCTTTCTAAAACAGTGCATCAGGTAAAAAGTGCCAAATTCACAGCCATTTCAAGTGATATATATTTCTTTTAGAGGCATTAATCTCTTCAGACGTCTGGTTCCTATCACCACCACTGTGAACAATTCTGACTTGGTCAGTTTCTCTAGAACTGAGCATTTCACACCAAACCACTCTGAATGACTTTGTTTACATCTTAACCATTTAATTATGCAGATGATTTTGAAAAATCTGTTGAAAAACATTTTTCCTCCTCATTTCAAATGTAGTTGATTAGCCAAAGACATGTTTGATGTGCTTCTTTAGTTTTGCACTGGAGCTACAAGGCTAATGAAGCTAACAAATTAGGCCACTGATTAACATTCTGCAAACTGCATGTGTAAATCATCACCCACTTCCTTCAAACAGTGCTGAGCTGTAGACTTATGTGGCTTCTGACACTGTATAACATATCATTGTCTATAAAAATGGCCAAAATACAGCAAACAGCCAAAACATCTTGAAGCACATGGCCAGTTATATCACCAACTCCCATCTATAATCAATGCACAGTGATATGTGATACTGGTGCTCACAATCTGTGGATATGCTCCATTACAAAAAAAACACCTCTGTTTGTATTAGTGAGTGATTGATTGTCACACATTAGACCCTCTGCATGCTGGATGCTCGTTGATCAGGTACATCGAGAAGCCCATTAGAGGACAAAAGTCTGCTTCTTGATGTGTGAACGCTCTGCTGTAGAGCTGAACGAGGACTTCACTGCCTCTCCTCTAACGACACCCTGTGTAGAATCCAATCAAGCGCAGAGGAATGATACTCATTAGCTGGTATTGATCATCAGGATGTTTGTTTGTGTCCTGTGTTTGTTTACTAATCTATTCAGAGCAGTGTGTCAAATACAACTCAGTTAGACAGTCAGTAGAGCACTGAGGCCCACAGGCAGCTGAGTGCTGAAAATCTGCCTTCTTTATCATCAAGAAATACAGAATATGAAAGAGGACAAGGTCTTAAACCATCTTCAGCTAAATCGGCTTCATCATGGGAAACTAAATCATACTCATTTTTAAATAGAAGAGTTTGCTGCAGTACGTAAACAATGTTTTAAAATGTATGTAGTTAAAGTGCAGTTCTAGCCCTGTCATTGCACCCCCATTGTGACTGTTGGACAAACACAAACACACACACAGCAGACAGTGTTAACAGCGTGAGTGGGGGTTAATGGAGTGTATGGCCAGCTCCTGCTCTGTACAGCACAGCTGATAATCATCAGCATCACTCTGCCTTCATCACAGCCTCCTCATCCTCACTGATCTCATTACAGATAACCAGCCAGGAGATCTCAAAAGATGAGGAAGAGAAGTGTGTGATTGTGTGTTTGTTTTCAGGAGAACAAAAATATCCTGAATTAGTAGGCAACGCAGAGAAAATCAGGACAATCGGGAAAATCAGGAAAATCAACAGGAGCAACAAAACATTCCTGATTAAAGTTCTATTTACAAAAGCACTTCTCAAAACCAGGTTAAGGTTAGGGTTACGTTTAAGAGAAGGCCTAAATAAGTCTTATTACAGGTGGATACACAGATAATTAGGGTATATTATTATTATTATGTATAATATGTATAGACACTTACATTATATATTATATATTAACACATATACATACACATTTAGACCTTACTTGTGTTTATTTCTTTAAAACAAATGATTGAACATTCTATTTTGTCACTACCAATACAATAACAACCCTAATTGTTTCGGTAGTGACTGTTTCAGTAGTGACTATTGTTTCTAATTTATTGTCAATTTATAAGTCAAGTTATATTCATATGTTTTATTAAAACCCAAGAAAGTTTAATTAATTAATTGCAGACAATTCTTAATGTTTCACACTGATTTTCAGACTTTGGGACACATTTAAATCAAAACATTGAGATCTAACTGGACACCATGTGGCCATGAGGAACAGGGATGCAGTTTCACTTCCGGCTCTAAAATGAAGTGGCGTGGCTATTTATGTATTCATTCGTTTATTTATTTATTTATTCGTGTAAATACTGTTTGCACAAGATGAAATGTAGGGGGTCAGGGTTTGGGACAGCCACCTCCTAATAGAAAGTACAGTATAAATGGTCTACATAAATATATTGTATATATTTCGTACATTATACATTCTGACAAGGTATTAAAACCAACGTGTATGTGTGTGTGTACCTGAGGGAGCTCCGACCCAGGCCAGTCCCAGGACTCCATCATCGAAGTCTCTGTCAGTGAAGACGTAGGCCAGGCAGTAATCATCATGATTCTGCTCAGAGTTCAGCTCCAGAAACTTTTCCACTCCGATATTAGCAAAGCGAAATGGATTGGACCTGTCCGTCTCATCCGCCGTCATGTTGATCTGAGAGAGAGAGAATGAAACACACATGAGTCCCTGTATGATTCTTGTTTTTTGACTACACTCTATGTGACTGTAATTCATTTCAAAAATTTCCAGCATCTCTCTGGTAGAGAGATCAAGAGGCTGCTACAACGTTGGGTCTATGACTCAACTTATCACCTGAATTCAAGGCTAGAGGCTAATTAAATCCTATAAAAACCACAGGACATGATCCACTATGCTTCCCCTTATAAATAAAAACCACAATAAATCATCAGGTGACTTTAAAAGAATAGTCTGGCGAAAAAATCAAATTTTTCCAATTTTCCACTAAACCCAGATGTAGCTGATCAGCTGAGACAGGTTTGGAGTCCAAATTTGCTTCTTTAGCTGAGAACACTAGAAAAACTATGAAATGGTCCAAACGCTCTGACTCAATCAGTAGAATAATGTCAGTCTCAGTTTGGTCTGGGTCACAGAAGCCGTCTGGACAAAAGTCTCTTGAACAAAACCCTCTATGTGACAATGTGGCAGGTAAAACCTGTTTATGTCAGCAACAGCAAGCTACTCTAAAATAATGCTGAAACAAATTTCTCTTCCAGAAAGCAATCAGAATGAAAGGGTTGCCTGGACTACATTTCAGAAATTGATTTTGGCTGGAGATGCAGAGTGGACAGAGACAAAGGAAACACACCTTTCATCAGCGCTCACACACACACACACACACACACACAGAAAAAAACACACACACACACACACACACACACACACACACACACACACACAGAAAAAACACACACACACACACACACACACACACACACACACACACACAGAAAACACACACACACACACAGAAAAAAACACACACACACACACACACAGAAAAACACACACACACACAGAAAACACACACACACACAGAAAACACACACACACACACACAGAAAAAACACACACACACACACACAGAAAAAACACACACACACACACAGAAAAAAAACACACACACACACAGAAAAAAAACACACACACACACACAGAAAACACACACACACACACACGGAAAAAACACACACACACACACACACACACACACACACAGAAAAAACACACACACACACACAGAAAACACACACAAACACACACACACAGAAAACACACACACACACACAGAAAAAACACACACACACAAAAAAAAACACACAGAAAAAACACACACAGAAAAAACACACACAGAAAAAAACACACACACACACACACAGAAAAAACACACACACACACACACAGAAAAAACACACACACACACACACAGAAAAAACACACACACACAGAAAACACACAAACACACACACACAGAAAACACACAAACACACACACACAGAAAAAACACACACACACACACAGAAAAAAAACACACACACAGAAAAACACACACACACACACACACACAGAAAAACATAGAAAAACACACACACACAGAAAAAACACACACACACAGAAAACACACACACACACACACACATAGAAAAAACACACACACACAGAAAAAACACACACACACACAGAAAAAACACACACACACACACACAGAAAAAAAACACACACAGAAAAAACACACACACACACACACACACAGAAAAAAACACACACACACACACACACACAGAAAAAACACACCCGCAGACAGAAACCCAGAAACACAGTGAGGCCCGACTGATATGAAAACTAGCAGTGATACTCATTTTAAGGATTCTAATAACCGATAACATCAGCAGATATTGTTAAAATGATCAAAATGTATAAAAAACATAACAAACTCCAATCGATTTAATTACTCAGTGCTTCACTGGGTGACATGACTGTTAGTTCCCAAAGTTTTTGCATAAAAAGCAAAGTCTGAAATAATATACAGGCATGTGCTAATTTGAAAACCCCCCAGCAAATTCCATGTTTGTGGATTTTCTAAGTAAAATTAAGTAACACGTCCTCGACAGGGAACATGTTCATGCCATAAATATAGAGAATGTTTCCTAAAAAATTAATGCACAATTTCTATTTATTTGCTGAGTTAAAAATAGAAAAAAACCTTATCACACTTTGTGCTTTATTTTTTTCCCAATATGTTAAATTCAGCAAATGAATGTGCAGAGGTGTGTTCTCTGTAGAGTGTTAACTGAGTTTCACTTAGAAAAGCAAGAAAGCATGTAATTTAATTGGAGGTACCCAAACTTTTGCATATGTATGTATATATACACACATACACAAACTGATTTTATTTTAACTATGATAGTGTTTTGTGTTCAGGTAACTGACGTGAGCAATCTGTATCACATGGAAACTTAACACAGGCCAAGTTTTCTAGAAAAAGGATGTACCGGTCAGGTCCGACACAGAGAAACACATACATACCCTGATCCTCTTGACCATGAAGCTGATGTTCCGGATGCCCTGGAAGTCTGTGCTCTGATAGATGGAGTCGATGGCCTTCACGTGGCTGGATATCTGTTGGGAAAAACACCACCATTGTGATCAAGGAGCTGCATTCAGTAAAGCAGGTTTATATAAACACACTATTCCAACAAACCTGACCAGTAAAGTGCTGGTCGGGTGCTCCAGGATACAAACTGATTGAATAAACTATGTGAATGGGGCAGAATATTCTAGAAATTTCCAACCAACAAGTCCACGTTTGGTGTTCCTGGGGACTGCTGGGCCGGTCTGCCCTGGATATTTCTCAGTTCTTTCTTATGTACACATTACTTATGCATTTTTCAGGCATTTTTCCCTTTTTAAGTCTGTCTAGAAAAATAATAAAACCTTAAAGACAGATGTGAATCTGGAGACTTAATAACGACACACTTAATACATGTTCAAATATTACTCAAATAATAAAACATCGATACTTGGGCCTCTGTGTATCAATACTAGTTTAAACCCTAAATGTCGCAATTTTATACTGTAACGATTATCTCTCCCACCCCTAGTATCAAATTATACCATATTGTATCAGGGTTAGTATATTAGCTCTTTGCTGGTGCGTTAGCTCAGGGCTAACAAATTAGCTTGTGGCTAGTCCATTAGATTGGTGCACTATCAAGCACAGCTTTAGGCTAGTGTTCCTATGCTGCTTAGAAACCAGTCTGAATTAATCAGGCTAAACTCCACTCCATTCTAAAGTGTCAAATATTATACTTTTATAATGTTCTCATAAACTGAAAATAGAAGCATTAACATATTAACACTGAGGCACATTTTCAGGCATTCCTTATTATTGCTGCGTTAAAAAATGTTAAGACAGAGCTACATTATTTATTTTTACTTTGAGAATTGTAACTAATATTCACCAACAGTAGACATGGAGTGCATTTTTTGCTCATAAAGCACTCTGTCAATTCACTTTATTCAAACAGCAACCAATTTGTTTATTAGGAACAGCAAATAGTATTGATTTAACACTATTTAATTAACAGTCATTTTTTCAGTCAGCAGCTGTGGGAAAATGCCTTTTCAGGCTCATTTGCTTGTTTTTCGATGTCTGCATGTAGTGTAGACAGTATGTCAAAAACACAATATCAACACACTTAGACATTTTTACAGTCCACAATACGCATCTTTGATAATCGATAAGTTGGAACAGACACAAAAATGCATCACCATTGTCACAATAAAAATAAGCTGCCATCAAAAACTACAACCACAATGATTTTTGTTCAGTGTATCACGTAAAATAGTCGAGATAAAAAGGACTAATTATGCTTTCTCTGTAATGATACATGCATTAGTTCAGTGTTGTTTCAGTACTGGATATTTCTACGACATACTTAGAAAAGTATACTGTGACAAAAATGATCATGACAACGATAAAATATCATACTAGCCAGCCCTACTTCCAATTTTCCACATTTTTTTTGCTCCACTTTTCCATCGATGCTGACTGGCTGGCCATCCTGTTCCAACCCAGGGTGATATAAAAGCAAAATGTCCACAATATGAATGAGGTAAAATCCTGATATGGCTAATGAATACCGATAAGCCTGGGTGTGAGCAGGTGTGATTTTAAGTGAGGACTGTAGGAAAATAAACAGGTGTAACTCTGCTCTCTGTACCAGCCTGTAGAGCCTGAAAAACCGTTCACTCCCCCACATCGAGGCAGCGGCAGGCTCATCAGAAATCTGTGCAATAAATCTGTCATAAATATCTAATACCGTACTGACAGCCCCTGAAATGAAGCGTGTCTGAGTAAAGGAGCGTCTAAAGATGCTTCCTCTTTCACTAGTGAATTGCATAAGGCACTTGCCAATAAAAAAAGTGATTTAAAATTTACTATGCAAATAAAAGTTTACTACATTCTTTTTATTGAGAACAGCATGCAGTGAGTCAAGAGTGATTCCCGCTGACTGTAGACTGACTGCAAGAGGGATTTCTAATTAATGCTGCCTCCCTTTTTCCCTGGTAGTCGACATTTCATCACTACATACATGTACAAGTTGCATCTTGTCCAACTGAACAGTATATCTTTGGCACTTCATTACGTCTTTGATGCGGAGCTGCATGACATGTTGTTTGCTAATTACTATCATAATTTTGTCCCTTGCAATACTGTAACAGCAGCCTATAATCTACAAATCAGCCTTGAGGAAATTGCAAAATTAAATTGGCTTTTAAAGCAACACCTTGAGCAGACTACGCTGGACAGTGCTTCAGGAAGACCTATAAATAAATCAATGAGCAGCAAACTAACAAAAGCAGCAGTGGAGCTCCAGTATGAACGAGGACGAGAGGGTACCATCACAGAGGAACTGAACCACTGACTGCATAAGACTGCATATGATACAGCATATGATATGTAGACTCATTGGTTGCCAATGGGCGTCGGAGATAAACACTAGAACCTGTGTTCGAAATATGAATGTCACATGATTTTCTCATGATGAAAATAAGGTTTTTGAATTATTGAAAGTAAAAATACATTCTAATTTAGTTTATTTTGCCCACACATGTAAGTATAACCGAACACACTGCATTTTAAATGATAAATATTTACATAAAATAATGTCAATGATCATGATTAATTAATTTAATCATTTGAAACTAGTTTTGAATCCTAATTTTTTTTTATATACATCGCAAGGCATATCGGAATGGCAAGACACAATGAAAGAACTGCAATATGGTATTTTGTCCATATTGTTCAACTCTACTCTGAAGTGTGTTTATTGCTGCCCTGCCTCCATCCTGCTGTGGGCGCTGTTAAGCAGAGTACCTGCGCTATCACAGCCTCCCTGGTGCCGTAGTATTTGAAGAAGAGGTGATCCGTCTGGATGAACAGCTGGCAGGTGTTTTTCTCAGCCTGCGCCGCACGCCTCTTCCTCAGGATTACTGGCCCATCCATCCGCTCGTCATGCTCCTCATGCTGTCTGTTCTTCTCCTGCAGGGGGCGCAGTGGCAGAAAAGAACATATCCTTAGAAGTCCCCAGCTATTAAGCAATTATACAATTATTAATATAATTGTATAAGAACTATGAATTATTCAGTAACTGCTATGAAACTAAAATGTAAGGTATGTAGTTGTGAGACCGAAGCAAGTTTTGAGGAAAGATATGAACACAAGAAAAATGTAAAGGAGGTTTTTGTTCATTCTGTAAAACACAAGGCTATACACACACAACACTAACTTCTTGCCAAACTCAAATGACTGAAAAAAACACAAACACAACCACTGCATTGAGACAGATTTCAAGTTTAGAATCCCTGCTTTCAACAGAATGTCTATGATTGTTTCACTGAGTGATAGACAAATAAAAAAAGGGGAATTACACTGATTTTTCAAAATCCCTGCGTATTTCAGTGGTTGAGATGTAAACCAAGTCATTTAGAGTGGTTTGCTGTAAAATGGTTACTTACTTTACAGTGAAGGTGATAGGAACCAGGGGTCATGATGTCCACAACACAAATATAGCCATTTTATTTACTACCCAAAACCACCAGTGAACCTACATGTCTTGGATTTTTATGTAATGCTGATGAAAACAGAGTGGAAAATAGTGGTAACTGGTAAAAAAAAAAAAAGTTTTCTTTCAGTACTTTCAGTACTATTTTTCCACACCCTGCATGTATAAATCTGTCTCTCCTGCATGTAAAAATACGTTTTAGGCCAAAATGCTCTCTCAAACCTATGGTAAAACAATGCCTCAGGCATCAGGCACCTTATTTATAACCACGTCATGTAATGATGATCTGTGAGGGAGCTTTTAGAGGCGTTAAACTCTTTAGACATCTGGTTCCTATCACCACCACTGTGAACAGTTCAGAACTCAATGAGTTCCTCTAGACCCTGTGCCAAACACAAGGCCCAGTCAAAACCAAAAGTATTTTAACTTTCTCTCTCCTACCCCAACAACAATCAATGGGACAGTGGTTACACCTCAGTTTGACACTCCTGCACTAGAATCTCCTTCAAATCACTCTGAATGACTTTGTTTACATATAACCAAATGAATTATGCAGAACAACAAACTGAGGTATTCCCCTTTAAGCGCAAAGAAGAAATCTCCTTTAATATAAAATTATAGCATGTAATAACTGCAACATCTAAGCGTTATGATGCCTTAATGATGGAAGTCAGCTTCACTAGGACTGATCAAATGAGCCAGTGTGAATGAGGGAGAACACACTAGTGACTCTATACACAGCACACCAACCCAACACTCGGTTTTGCTGGTGTTTGTTGGGTTCATTCTGGATTTTTAGAAAAACCTGTGCTAATAGGATTGATATGGATTTACAGTAGAGGTGGGAGATACAGCAAAATGTCATATCATGATACTTCAAGAGGTTTTTTTGATACACGATATGTCACAACATTCTGTTTTTCTGTCATCTGATAAGTTACAACAGACAAAGTATCGTCACATTTAAAAAGACTATCAAAACTTTGAATTTTATAATCTGTACTCACCATTTTACACACTATGCTGCACTAAATCCAGTTAAACAGGGCTAATTATGCTGCCTTTGGTTGTTGATATACAAAAAAAAGCATATTGCGACATATTGAGATGTATTTTTTCACAATAACGACAAATACCATCAAATTGCCCAGCATTAATATACTCTATGAAGCAGGGCTCTCCCATGGTGAAGAAATGGGAGAGGCAGTTTAGGATCCGAGAATAAAACCAGGAGAAACTCTGCGAATGTTACAAAGCTTCTGGAATGTGCCACCACGCCCAGGCTCAATTACTCCCTAGAGGATCTCCCCCACACGGATAGCGGGGCTGACAGAACTTTGCCAAAACAAGCCAGTATTCAAAAGCTCACAAGAAAAAGACAGATGGATCCATAAATGGAGTCTGGTGCTTTTAAAAGCCTCAGGATCTCACACTGTAATTTAATCATCTCCCTGTGCTCTTATCAGACTTCTCCTCCAGTCATACATCAGCAGAGGGGAGAGGCAACACATCACTTCTGACAGAGAACAGACATACCTCCATATAAACACGACCATTTTAATTCCAGGAGCAGGAATAAAAAAAAGTTATATTACTATTTCATGTTTCAGATAAAACACATTTATCCAGAGGCTGCCAAATGTGGAGGTGAAGAAAACTAATGAAGTTGGCCACTGATGCATATTTCTGTGCTTTTTAGAAGCCTGATCAAACTCCTGGGCCTCAGAGCAGCACTGAGTGAAAAGTTTGTTGGGGCTGTGAGTGATTTATTAAAGATGAGGTAAAAATGCAATGCAACATGTATATGTATAAATATCTATCTATTTATCCCTTCGCTCTCTCTCTCTCTCTCTCTCTCTCTCTCTCTCTCTCTCTCTCTCTCTCTCTCTCTCTATATATATATATATATATATATAAAATTCCATTGACTTATATTCAAAGTAAAGTACATTTTTTCCAACCATTATGGAGATACGAGGTTTTTTTCCAACAACAGTGATTATATATATATATATTACATCTATATTACATTTACAATTTTACACTGACTTCCATTATAGGTTACAAAGTAAAGTTTTTCCTTCTACTTCTGGAGATAAAGTTTTGTTTCCGACATTGATGATATTTTATAAGTTGGAACGAGCTTAAATGCACAGGCCAAACAGTGGTGACCTCTTTACAAAAGTCCATGATAACTTTGAGTACAATGTATGTGAAATAAACTATTTACGCAATGAAAACGAGGAGAAATCAAACACAGGTTAAAGTTAAAAAATAATGACAATGTGCTGACAACCAATCAGCTACCTGATACTACGCAGTTACTATACTCTGGTCGTCGGTGTTTACAGACTGTATATAATCTGTTGTTTATGCTAGTAATACCATAGCATGAAACTGCCCGCCCCTGGACTGACCTGTGCAGGAGTTTCCACCGCAGACGCTTGGTACTTCTTCATCCTCTCAAAGACGGAGTGGTCCGCACAGCCCCCCTCCCTGCCGTACTTATGAGGATAGTCTAGGAGCACAGACAGATACAGGCACATAAGCTAAACATGAAAACATGAGCTTTGAACAGCTTAAAACGCCACTGCTTTACTGCTAGAGAGAATAACACAGTAATATAAAGCCCATACAGTCGGTGCAGGGTTTAACAGGTGGATTAGGTTTTCTGAACTGTAAATGAAAGTGCAAGATTTCTGATACTGACTTCAAGGTTACACCACAGAAAGACCCCCACATCAAAAATGATGCACTGAGCATCAAGCATGTGTGTGAATCTCAATTTCTCAATAATTTCCATGTAATTAAGCAGTTCCTTAATTGATTACTTTGATTCTGAATCTGAATCAGGTTCAAGCAATGGCAAAAACAAGGCAACAATGAAAAAGTGTTTTTTTCCTTCCCAAAATACAAATGTATATCAACATAACATTTCAATTATAATAAAATACACTACAACAGTATGCAGACATGTATTTTAATTAGTGAATACACAGTTTGTATAATCTTCTTTGAAAAGCACTGACCAAAAGAATGGGACACTCTGGAGCAGTTTCACATGAGCTGAAGGTCACCATGCCCAATGCCAAGTGTCACCTATAGGGGCATAAACCCCCCAGTATTGGGCTGTGGAGCAAAGGAACTGCGTTCTCTGGAGTGATGGAGCTCCAATGAGCTGGCGTGATCCAGAACTGACCATCCAACATCAGTACCTGACCTCACTAATGCTCTTGTGGCTGAATGCAATCAAATCCTCACAGCATTGTTCCAACATCTAATGCATAGGCTTTGCTGTTACAGAAGCAAATGGGGACAAACTCACTATTAAGACCCTTCGTTTCAGAAGAAATGCTGAATTCTACCAACTTCTGGACGATCTCTTCTTCCACTATGAGGTACGAATGGGAGGCTGAGAATCTTCACTTCCCACAGGACGTCTCCGCTTGCTTCAGTGAGTTATTAGTGAGGAATAATCACGCGAAACGGAAGGAGAGGCGTTTCAGGGTGTGCGTGATGCTGCACTACGCCCTGCCCTGCCTGCTTTGCTGCTGTGTGGCTGAGCTGCAGGTCTGTGGAGATGGATCTGCTGGAGAACTAATGAGAGCCTGGGGAATTACAGCAAACTAACATGTCTCTCTCTCTTGCTGTCTTTGTCTAACTCTCCAGCTCTCTCCTTCTCTTTTGTCTTAGGGCCAAAGCCCTGTGGCTCAGCTTATGGCGCTATAGCTTTAGTCAAGCTAAGACACAACGCCCATTCATACAGGGGCTGAGCAGTGAGGAGATGAGGTCGAAATCTCCCATCGCTATATCAGAGATCATAATACACCAAGTTTGAAATGCAGTAACACTGAAAACAGGAATTATACTGAAAGGCTTCGTACTAAACTTCTTGTATTTATTATAAAGTCAAAAATCAACTACAAAATGTATGATAAAATATAGGAATGAAATAACAAATGAAACCTCGCAACAACAGGGCAGACCTCAGGTGTACTCTGGCTCTTTAAAATGTTTGATGGCAGTACAGGTTGATCTCAAATGGTTAACAGAGCGCTCACTTGGAATCTATTCAGTTCTATATTGTGAGTGTTTACATGCACTCAATAATCTGACCATAATCGGATTTCTGCAGTTATCTGATTATTCAAATGATCATGTAAACAGCACACTCTGATTTATTAGATTGGAGTAAGGTCTAGAAATCCAATTTTTTAAAAAAAATCAATAAACAGAGCTGGATTTTAGCTCAGTAGTCAGATTTCTCAGCGCATGTAAACTCTGACTCTGAGTTCTCAGTCTGCACATGTGCAAAAACAGGCGTTGGTACCGGAAATTAGCGAGCAGCATTGCTGCAAGACAGCAGTAAAGTAGGTCGATGTTTAAAAAAAACAAGCTGAGGTATGAAATTTGAGTTTTACGATACGTTTATGTCACATCTTCTTCTTTGAGTTTATTGGTTGGTTGTAAAGCAGAAATCTGATTACTGCCTGACTAGAGCTGGGCGATATGGCCAAAAATGTTATCACGATAAACAAAATTTCTATCGTTCGATATCGATACATACCGCGATAAATGTCAAATCATTATTTCTTTCAAGTTTGAAGGCTGATTTTTGCTCCTGGGTGGTTAACTGCTGTTTTAAACTATCCTTTATGGTCGGAACACGACAAACACTCACCAAACAGTGGAACCTTTCACAGATCTGTCATGGGAGAGTGGGAGAGAGTGTCTGGTGAGCTGTTTCTACCAGCTGGAAAAGCATGGCTATTTTGTAATAGTCATAATTTAAGAAAGAAAACAGATTATTTTAGCTGGTGCCGAGCGCTCGGCTACCCGTTACAAATGACATCACAGCATTCAGACGCCAGCTAGACGACTGGATTTCTCTATACTGTCGTAGTAGTTTAAGGGGTGAACCGCAAAATATCAACACCAGACAAACAGAGTCCTCCTTTTAGGTACGCAACTGAAAGTGGTGCTTTTGTGTCATGTTTGATCTACAGTATCATCAATTCTCCATGTTGTGGAGTGACGGAGCACAGATTCAAGTTAGCCAGCTGTTAAAAACAGCTAGCCTGGAAAGATAGAGCTCTCCCGCTCTCCACTGCCTCACAGCTTCCTCAGTTTACTGTCGTTTAAATCAGGGCTGTAATTTACATGAACCCACTTCTTTTTTTTCACTTTCGTTGCTTGGGAATGCACTAATACTAAATTATGACTGTCCGAGCGCTGTAACAGTGCTGTAGTTGTGAGGATTGTGATTGTGATTTAACACCGCTAAAGTTGTTAGGTTGTACAGAAAGAGGTGAGTTCACTGTAGGACAGTATAGTTACACCACTGATCTCGTCACTCACACTCGGTCACAGGAGAACAGATCGCCGGTCGCTCCACAAGGCATGTATAACGCGTTTCAGCCGTTGCTAAAGACTCATCTTACTCGTGGCCCCCTCCCTCTCTAATCAGGTAGAAAAACTCGGAAGTGCGCCCTCTCCTGGCGACAGCAAAGTAGTGTCGCTTTCCTTGCAGTAGAAAACGCCACAACGGCTGTCGCTGAACGTGGAAGTGTGAGAATGGTGTATTATATCGAACATTTATCAAACATGTCGTATCGCTCTATCGAGGAAAAGTTATATCGCAATAATTATCGGTTTATTGCCCAGCCCTATGCCTGACTCATGTGGACCTGGAGTTTTCACATTATCTGATTACTCAAGTGCATGTAAACGTGTCGATCAGATTACTGACAAAATCTGATTTTCTGAAGTTATTCGATTATTAAGTGCATGTAAATGCACTCAATATCAAAACCAAAACCCCACCACCTTCTACACAGACACACAGGTCAGGAAAACAGGAGAGCTATTTTGGGGGATGTGACACGCTAGCAGGAAGCGGAGAATGACAAATGCTGGAAAACAAGGCGACAGAAGGTGGAGGTGTGGGGGAGTGCTCTCTAATTACCCGGGGCAGGGCAGGCAGAGGGATGAGGCGGCGGATTTGCGGTCCCGGGACGCGGCGGTGCGGCGGGGCAGAGAAGGTCTGTCTAATGAGCCGTCCATGAAAACATTGAGCATCGCTCCAACTGTCACTGACTCACCATGTACAACAGCAGCTACAGCACAATCACACAACACGGACAAAGAGCAGCGTTTCAGGTGCCTGAGTGGACCGCAGTACCACCTCTGACCAGCCGAGTGGACCGCTGCTCTCTCCGGTCATTATCAGGATCAGTTCAGAGAGGGGCGTCGCTGAGGAAATTACCTTATAACAATATATATTTGATATATGGATAATCAGTCAGTCACTCATGTTCCATCCATGTCCTTTTTATGTTCATTCCTAATTAACTTGATTAATAATGTAATTCACAATATTGAGAGAGGGAGAGAGAGAGAGAGAGAGAGAGAGAAAGCGAAAGAGAGAGAGAGATGAAAGAGAGATGAAGGACAAGAAAGAGAAGAGACAAAAGAGAGAGAGAAACAGGTGAAAGACAGACAAGAGAGAGGAGGGAGAGAAAGACACAGGTGATAGAGACAGAGACGAGAAAGAGAGAGAGAGGGAAAGAGAAAAAGATAGAGAAAGAGGACAGACAGAGATAAAACTGAGTGAGAAACCCAGAGACAAAATAGAGGTCAACAGTGTGACAGAGAGTGATAGAGAGATAGTAATAATAATAATGTTATCCATAATAATGTTATTATTACTTTTTAATTTTTAATATATGGTGTCTTATTTTATTTATTTGCTTTATTTATTTTAATATTGTTGCTGTTATTTTCATATGACTATTATCATTATTACTAGTTTTCAGTTCTGTGTTTGTTTTTTAGTTCCACAAAGTATGTTTCGCTTTTGATCTGAATTTTATATGCTTTGGCAACATTGTACTCAGAACAGTCAGGCCAATGAAGCGACTTTGAAAATTAAAAAAATAGAGTGATAGAGAGAGATATAGAGAGTAATAGAGAGATAGAGAGAATGATGGAGAGAGTGATAAAGAGACAGATAGAGATAGAGAGAGAGAGAGAGTGATGGAGAGAGTGATAGAGAGAGATATAGAGAGAATGGTGCAGAGAGTGATGAAGAGAGATAGTGAGAGAGATAGAGAGAGAGATAAAGAGATAGAAAGAGAGATAGACAGAATGATGGAGAGAGTGATCTAGAGAGATAGAATGATGAAGAGAGTGATAAAGAGATAGAGATAGAGAGAGAGAGTGATGGAGAGAGTGATAGAGAGTGATAGAGAGAGAATGGTGCAGAGAGTGAGAGAGAGATTAAGAGATAGAAAGAGAGACAGACAGAATGATGGAGAGAGTGATAGAGAGACAGACAGAGTGATGAAGAGAGAGACAGAATGATGGAGAGCGTGATAGAGAGAGATAGAGAGAGTGACAGAGAGAGAAAGATAGAGAGAGAAAGAGGATAGACAGAGATAAAATGGAGTGAGAAACCCAGAGACAAAATAGAGAGGCAGACAGTGTGAGAGAGAGTGATAGAGAGAGAGATAGAGAGAA